GCTCTACCACTGAGCCACCTTCCCAGCCCCTGTTATTATAATTTGTGTGTCACTATTGGGGCATAAACTCAGAGCCTGGGCTCTGTCCCTGAGCTTTTTTGTTCAAGACTAGTGGAGCTCTTGAGCTCTACTTGAACTACTCCTGGCTCTTTGCCGATTGATTGGAGATAAGATTCTCACAGGCTTTCCTGCATCAGAGGGTTGCAAACTGTGAACCTCAGTGATTACAGATTATAGTAGGCCACCAGTATCTGGCTTTATAATATGTTTTGAAATCTGTTTTGAGTCCTTTTTTCTAACTTATAAATCAGGGAGATAAAAATTTAATGTAACACTATTTTAAAAAGTTGATTTATAAGCTGGGCACTGGTGGCTCACCCTTGCAATCCTAGCTACTCAGGAGACTGAGATCTGAGGATCGCAGTTCAAAGCCAGTCCAGGCAGGAAAGTCCATGAAACTCTTATCTCCAATAAACACTCAGAAAACCGGAAGTGGTGCTGTAGCTCAAGTGGTAGAGCACTCACCTTGAGCTGAAGAGCTGAGGGACAGCTCTCTGGCCCAGAGTTCAAGCCCCATGACTAACAAAAAAGTTGATTTATAATATGACTTTCATCCTTTTTCTTTTATTTGTTCTTAATACATCAAGAGATAATTCAACTTTAAAACAAGATAGTAAACTAAGGAGATAATAGTATTTCACTTATAATCTGTAAGATATTCTGATATCCTTATTAATCTTTTAATAAAATTTCAGTTATTTTTATTCATCATTTAGTTTTTCTTCACTAATAGGTACATTAAAAAAATCTCTTCTTATTGCTCTGCATACCATTCTTAACACCTCCTCGTATCATTCAGTCAATTACCTATGCCTATAATTTTAAGAATTATCATTTTATTAACCTTATTAAAAATATCCTTCTCCTTGATCCCCCTTTTAGAATGAATAGCAGTGGCTAAATTAGAAAGATAAAAATTTAATATAATAATATACTGCAACCATTGTAGATTCACTATAACTTTAAATAGCTTTGGATGAAAGCATTGAAATATAAGGAACTATCAGACTGTTTATCTCAGTCAGTAGTTTATTGATGAAAATTTTCAACCTTTTAAATTTTATTTTACATATTTAAGCAACTTCTATTTCTTGAATGGCTTTTATGAAGATTTAGTTATTTTTTTGAAATAGAGTACAAACTGTACAAGTAAATGAAATAATTGAATATGTTTCTTTTCCTTAGCACCTGTGGAAGATTCAGGCTTGAAAGAAACTGGTACAAACAAAAGGTTATCATATATAGCTCCATATAAGAAGAAATCAAGTTCATCAAGACCATCTGAATCTTCATTATTAAAAAAGTTGGAGATGAAAAGCTTCCAGTCTTTTAGTAATGTTTTGGAGAAAGATGACTCTGAATATAAAGAACCAAAAGTTTCTTTGCAGCCAAGGAAGTTTTCAGATGTGGTTGACAGCAGTCATGTAGATGTCCAGGAACCATATTCAAAACATGAAACAGATTTACGAAAACTTTCAGAGAATGAAGAAACTTCTGACTCAAAATCTAAATCACAAAGCTTGAGGAGTAATACAAGCCTCAATAAGTTTCTGGAAAAAAGTGATATTACTAACATCTCCAAACCTCAGAAACCAGCTAGGACAAGGCATTCTACCCTTCTAAAACACATTTCATTTAAGGAAAAACCTGCAGTTAATACTCTGGGTCAGTACTATGCATGTAAATAAGAATTTAGGTCCTTGAGTTCGTTAGTCATCATAGAAATGAGTAGTCATTTGATAGTTGTAAGCATCTCTACTGTTAATTCTCTGAGTAACCACCACTTTTGATGCAGTAGGCCAATAAATATTATCTTGTGGTTTTGATGTTAGTTCCTTGCCAGATGCCCCATTTTTTTCAGGGGGTAGTGGGTAGAGAAGAATTTAACTTTGAGAAGCTTATTTGAGTTTCCTAGAAAGTAGAGGGCTTGTTTTCATTTGTGAATATTTATAATTCATTTAAAAAAGTGTGGAAGAAGTTCATGAAATATTTCTTTATAGTTTCATGTTTTAAATGATATTCATAGTACTTTAGATATTGTCCCCTATGGGTAGAAAATATTATGAGAAAACAATACTATATATTTAAGGTCTGTAAGAATTTATAGTCTTACTCAAAGATGAGTAATGATTTTTTCATATAAATGAATGTACTCCCCTTCTGCACTACTCCTAACACAGAAGTACTGCATATGGGAACTAGTTAAACACTTGCTAGAGTCTCTTGATGAAATTACCTAAGTAACTTACTATTAATGGAAAGAGTACTAGTCTTGTTAAAGAAATTTCATAACGTTTAAAATTTTCATTTAGTACTTAATGTAAGAGTTAAAAATGAGTGTTTAGTGAAAAATTAGTCATTAGTACCACTGATACATAGTCCAAATAATATAGTTGAATAAAGAAGGTAGGGAAGGTTAGGGCTATTCATTCTTATTTCTTTACTGAGTTGGTGCTATTACTCTGAGCCTCCTATTTCACAGGGATCTTTGTGTTTCAATAAGAAACAGTAAGCCCTGGATGGACAGAAAACCATAGATTAGTGGACATTTAGCCAGTAGGTAGAAGTGGCCTTCAGAAGAAAGTGATAGCTACCTGGTTTTGCTAAAACCAAATGATGTCAGCTACTACTACCATACTTATATTCTTTTTTTTTTTTTGTCAGTCATGGGGCCTGAACTCTGGTCCTGGGCACTGTCCCTCATCTCTTCAGCTCAGGGCTAGCACCCTACCACTTGAGCCACAGTGCCACGTCCAGCTTTTTGTGCTTATGTGGTACTGAGGAATCGAACCCAGGGCTTCATGCATGCAAGGCAAGCATTGTACCACTGAGCCACCTTCCCAGCCCAATACTTATATTCTTTATACAGAGAAGTATAAAATAAGTTATTTGATATGAGTTCTCCAAACCAATTGATGATAATTGGGCATCTATAAAATATGACCATGTCAATGATTTATATTGAAATACACTAGCCTTTCATCTTAATACATTACTTTGCACTCATAACATTTGATAATATAGTTAAACATATTGCCACATGCTCCTTATTTTCCTCATGTTAATATCTTTAGAATGTGTCATTCTGAAGACGATTAAGAAAAAAAATATCAAAATGGAAAAGAGCGCTGGGAATATGGCTTAGTTGTTGAGTGCTTGTCTAGCATGCATGAAGCCCTGGATTCAATCAATACCGTATAACCAGAAAAAAACGGAAGTGGTACTGTGGCTCAAGTGGTAGGGTGCTAGCCTTGAGCAAAAGAAGCTCAATCTCAGTGTCCAGGCCCTGAGTTCAAGCCCTAGGACTGGCAAACAAAAAATAAAAATGGAAAATAGTAAAAGACAAACAAAATCAAACCGGCAAGACTGACCATTCAGATGGGCTAGTTTTAGAATATACAGGCTTTTCATAGCACAAAGTTGTTCCAGTAAGACTCTTCACATCTTTCTAGCATCCAAGATGTATAAAAATCTCTAATCAATTTAAGTGCTTTTGACTTATGCCTGTAATCCCAGCCACTCAACAGATTCCAATTAATAAGCAAAAGGCCAAGCTGGAGGCATAGCTCAAGTGATAAGAGTGTCAGTCAGAGGCAAGCTGAGCAAGATTGCAAGTGTGTAGAGTCCAAGGCCTAGTAGAAAACACAAAAACCAAACCATACCACAACAGAACAAAACAAAACAAAAAGCCCTTTTATCAAGACCTGGAAATGTGGCTCAAATGGGAGAATACTTGTAGAGTGAGTGAGATGCCCTGAATTCAATCTTCTATTACATCAAGAGAAAAAAATTGAATCAAGTTCCTAGAGATTCAGGGAGAAAGAATTGGAGGGAATTTAGAGTTAGTGATAATCAAGATGTTAAATCTAGATGTTAAATGACATATTCCAGTTATTAGTCTAAGTTCAAGGTAGTATCTCTAGGGAGGTTTAGAGATTGTCTCTAAGGAGGTTTGTTTTTGTGAGAGTTTGTATATGAGGGAATTTTTTTATCAATAACTTAGAATTATTCATTGCAAAAATTCAGTTGAAGAGAGGGAAGAGCACGTATTTTTGGAAAAGAATGACTCAGAATCAATACAATTTCTCAGCTAAGAAAAATAGAAAAAAATTGATTGAAAATATATAGAGAGGCTGGGAATGTGGCTTAGTGGTAGAGTGCATGAAGCCCTGGGTTTGATTCCTCAGTATCACATACACAGAAAAAGCTAGAGGTAGAGCTATGGCTATAGTGATAGAGTGCTAGCATTGAGCAAAAGAAGCTCAGGGACAATGCCCAGGCCCTGAGTTCAAGCCCCAGGACTGGCAACACACACACACACACACAAACACACACACACACACACACACAGAAGAGACAGAGGGTGCTAATAAAATTATTGAATCTTGCTGGGCACCAGTAGCTCATGCCTGTAATCCTAGCTACTCAGGAGGCTGAGATCTGAAGATCACAGTTCAAAGCCAGCCTGAGCAGGAAAGCCTTTGAGACTCTTTTTTTTTTTTGTCGGTCGTGGGGCTTGAACTCTGGGCCTGAGCACTGTCCCTCAGCTCTTCAGCTCAAGGCGAGCGCTCTACCACTTGAGCTACAGCGCCACTTCCGGTTTTCTGGTGGTTTATTGGAGATAGGAGTCTCATGGTCTTTCCTGCCCGGGCTGGCTTTGAACCGCGATCCTCACATCTCAGCCTCCTGAGTAGCTAGGATTACAGGCGTGAGCCACCAGCGCCTGGCTCCTTTGAGATTCTTATCTCCAAGAAAGCACTCAGAAAACTGGAAGTGGCACTGTGGCTCAAGTGGTAGAGTACTAGCCTTGAGCTGAAGAACTGAGGGTCAGAGCCCAGGCCCAGAGTTCAAGCCCCATGACAAACAATAACAAGAATTATTGAATCCCTTTTGTTACTTTTCAGAGTTGGTGTGATTACTGTGGAAGGTTTATATCTAAAAATAGATATGAGACCTAGTAAGGGCTGGTTAATGTTGTCAAGGTGTCTAAAGAGATAGCATATTGATAGTGTATGGATTTCCATGCTGACATGAAATAGACTCCTGAGCCTTTTCATTGTCTATACAGAAAATCTTTTCTTTTACTCAGACCTATCAAGAACTTAGTATCTACCTGAATTATTTTCATCTATTGATATTGAAAAAGCAGAGTCTTATCGGGTTCTATCGTGTAATGGTTAGCACCCTGGACTCTGAAAAAGTAGAGTCTGTGCCTTACTTATTTTTGTATCACTTTATGTTTAGCACTAACATGCCTCAGTCATTGCTGAAAAAAAAGGAACTGACCTAATTTAGAAAGACTCCTCTTAGGAGAAAGTATATGAAAGAGAAATAAGATAATGAAATGAAAAATCAAATGGTTTTTCATGTGCATTTGTTGTTTATGCAAATTACAATGGAAAATATAATCTATTACTCTATTTTTATAGAAAATGAGTTGGTGAATTTAGATGACTTTATTACAACTCTCTCCAAGGAACAAAGTTTTCATGAATATGATGGTAGGTAGGAAACTTGCTTTAAAATGATTTGAAGGAAAGAATAGTTAGGTTGGGAAGAATAAAGTTCAATTTGGACAACTATTTAAAACTCCTGTGATTCATAGGCAAGTAAAATGCTACTTTAAAATAATCTTGGGGGGCTGGGAAGGTGGCTCAGTGGTAGAGTGCTTGCCTTGCAAGCATGAGGCCCTGGGTTCGATTCCTCAGTACCACATAAGCAGAAAAAGCTCGAAGTGGCGCTGTGGCTTAAGTGGTACAGTGCTAGCCTTGAGCTGAAGAGCTTACGGACAGTGCCCAGGCCCAGAGTTCAGGCCCCACGACCAACCAAAAAAAAAAATCTTGGTATGTCAGAGTAATAATAGGAACCTGCTGTCTCATCTGAATTTTATGAACTAAAAACTAGTACATAAATATTTAGCAATGCTAATAATAGTGAGGTGATCCAATATGTAATTAGACACATTGATTAAGATTTGATAGGTGATTGATTTATTTGAAAATAAAACCTGTTTGAATGAAATGCCGGCATGGCTTTTATTTTAGAACATTTAAAACGCTTTATTTAAGTGTAATTTACATAACTTACCTATTCACTGATTTTTAGTAAATTGTGCAAATATCATCAGAATCCAGCTTTTGCTTGCAATGTTTACTTTTATACAAATAACTAAAAAATTTCCCAGAAGGCTTACAATAAGAAAGGAAAGATACTGTCTTGCTATTATGCTTTCTTCTGTTTATTTCTATGATAAAAGATTTCCCTAAAGATTTTCCAGATAAGAAAAAATTAATCCAAAAGTAAAGAGACTTCCTTTTATACCTAGATGAAGCTCTGATGTTAAAAGCTACATTTGGCATGTAGCTTAAGTACTTGTGTCAATTTCTTGAAGGTAATATAAACAAATCTACTTCTTCAATACTTCCCTATGAAATAAATCACTTACCAACTCAGTCACTGTTATATTGCTGTTCTTGTGAAGAGTAGAAAGGACACTTTCTGAAACTTTGTGGCATAGCTTTTGGAGGAGCGGCTTCAATTCATGATGCTCTATCACTTGAGCTATGTATGCCTCCACTTGTGTTTTTGGCTAGTTAATTGAAAATAAGAGTTTCATGGGTTTTTCATTGTTTCTAAGTAATAATGTATATCTACAGGAGATAAAATAAAGGGATTTACCAAGGAGTGAATTACATATTTCCACAGACTGGTATTTCAGCTTGTTATTAGAGATTGAAGATTTCCTGCTAATGAAAAATAAACTACCAGGGAGTTCAATTTGTTGAATTAGCTAGGAATTTTTCATATTTTTTATATATTTTTAGTTGTGATATTATCAGTGCATTTTAGGCATAGAAACTATAGAGAAAAGATACAAATATTTTGACTGATTTTGATACATACTGATCTTCACTATTATTAATCATGATGGCTATGTGCTTTTAATACATAACATTTCTGAAATGATTTCTATTTTTGTGACTGCTGGCACTAGATTGATTTACATTTAATACAAGTATGCTGCTTTATTTTAGTACTGACTAATGGCACTAATGCTGTTAAAAAATTTGAAGATGAAAAAGTTGACAGTGAGGATGTAAATACTTCTCTTGAAGAGTTTGGAATTCACCTCCCTAAGCCAGAAGTGGAAAAGCCTGTGGAATTGACTGAAGCTGATAGTAAGTGTTAACATTTTCAGGCAATTGTGATAACACATCTAGCACATGTGGCAGTTTGTTATTTTCCTTTGAATAATGATTTTTTTTCCTTTTCTTTTTCTTTTTTTTTGAGTCTGGTCGTGGGGCCTGAACTCTGGGCCTGGGCGCTGTCCTTCAGCTCTTCAGCTCAAGGCTAGCACTCTACCACTGAGCCATAACGCCACTTCTGGCTTTTTCTTTTTGCTTATGTGGTGCTGAGGAATCGAACGCAGGGCCTCATGCATGCAAGGCAAGCACTCTACCACTAAGCCACCTTCCCAGCCCCTGAATAATGATTTTTTTATTGGTTTTTGTCAGAAAAAAATGTCTATTAAGGTTAATTAAAGAGCACAAAAGTCCTCACATGTGTAACACAAAATGCTCAAAATCCTATTATCTAGAAATAACTAGTATTTATAGTCTTTTAACATTTTCTAGGAAAATGTTAAAAAAGAAAGAAAGTAGGGTTTGTGACCTTGCTAGCTGACCAGGTAGAAGTCAGGATACAAGATATATATTTTTGTATATTTTTCTTCTTTTTCATCATTAAATTCTCTCAAAATATATGCTGAATTTGTTCAGTTCTCCTTATTGCCATCTCTGTCACAGCAGGCACTGCAGGTTTTTCTGCCTTATCTTCCAGAGAGTCCATTTTTTATATAGCACAGTGATCTTTCATAAACTTTTAATAAGATAATTTATCTCTTCTATTCAAACACAAGATTTTCTTTTGAAATTCTAATAAAGCAAAGCTTTGTCTTGTCTGCAGTGTTAAATTTAAGGGTAGGAAGGAGGCAGAGAAGATTTTGGGAGGAAGAAATGGAGAAAACGCTATTTTCTTGAAATATTTTAGAATCCTCAAAGATATATTAAAATTGTGTTAAATGTTTTATTGTTTTGATACTTGAAAGTTGGGTATTCACTTATGCTATTGTTATTCTTAACTACAAAATTCTTAATTCTTGACTATTCTAAATAACAGTTTACCATATTGACTTCTTATATAAGTATGTTGTAAAACTTGTGTTTTTATCCACTATTTAGAATTGCCTCGTGTTACTGAAAATATTCAGAATCTCAGCCAGGAGCTGATGAGTATTTCTGACTCTTGACTTCTTATATAAGTATGTTGTAAAACTTGTGTTTTTATCCACTATTTAGAATTGCCTCGTGTTACTGAAAATATTCAGAATCTCAGCCAGGAGCTGATGAGTATTTCTGATACTTTGTCAAATGTGAATAGTGATTTAAAAAAAGATAACTTTCTAGATGAACTGAAGCTAGCAAAAGTTGGTGAGTATTACCTAAACTTAAGAGGCACACTATGTAACTTTATTTTCTGTTTTTGATGATAGCCAGTCTAACAAATATGAAGTGCTATTTCATTGTGGGTTTAATTTGCATTTTTTGTGATTAGAAATATTGAACATTTTAGTAATTCGTATGTCGCCTTCTTCTTCTCCTTCTTCTTCTCCTCCTTCTCCTTATTAGAAATATTGAACATTTTAGTAATTAGTATGTCACCTTCTTCTTCTCCTTCTCCTCCTCCTCCTCCTCCTCCTTTTTTGTTGTTGAGCTGTCGCTCATCTCTTCAGCTCAAGGCTAGTGCTCTATCGCTAGAGCCACAGCACCTACCAGTTCCAATTTTCTGAAGGTTTATTGTAGATAAGAGTGTCATGGAGTTTCCTGCCCGGCCTGGCTTTGAACCGCCATCCTCAGATCTTAGTCTCCTGAGTAGCTAGGATTATAGGTGTGAGCCACTGGTACCCGGCAGTACGTCTTCTTTTGAGAAATGTTCAAGACTTGTGCCCAATTTAAGGGTGTTTTCTTGCTATTAAGTAGTTTGAGTTCTTTATATATTTTAGATTCTAGCTCATTACTTGGTATATAATGTGCAACTATTTTCTCCCAATTCATGAATTGTCTCCTCATTCTAATTTTTTTCTTATCTGAAGAAGCCTCTTAGTTTGATACAGTCCCACTCATCTATTTTTTTCCTTAAGTTGATTGTGGCTTGGAGTTCTACCTAAGAAACTCCTGCCTAGACAAATGTCAGGGAGCTTTTTCTTTGTGTTTTCTTCTACTAGTTTTAGTGTCAGGTCTCAATTAGCTAGTGTTCCAAAATGGTTAAAATGTCTATATACACATGAAAATTAAAGAAAGTTCAGATTGTTTGACTGGTCTATAGAAAAAATATTAATATAAATGTATTAATATTCATTGAGTCCATTCAGGCTATATATTATGTCACCTTTTGAAAATGGCTTATCCCAGAAAACATAGAGTGGGTGACCAGGAAATGTTAAAAGACTATTGAAATTTTATAATTGCATTACTTGGGATAACTTATAGATTCAGGAGCAAAGTCTTTGTAGTTAGGAAGAGTGCTACTAAAAGAAGTATGACAAAACGTAACAATAGACATATGTAATTTTACTGTATAGTATAGTATTGGAAAACTTAAGTGTTCATTTAAAACCCATAGTAGCTTGGGTGGCTTATGCTATACAGGAGACCGAGATCTGAGGATCACAGTTCAAAGCCAGTCCAGAAAGGAAAGCCCATGAGACTTTATTTCCAGTTAAACACCAAAAAACCTGAAGTGAAGCTGCAGATCAAGTAAGCTCGGAGACAGCATGCAAGCCCTGGGTTCAAGCCTCAGGACTAGCGTACACACACACACACACACACACACACACACACACACACACACACACACACACACACACACACCAAATAACCTCCTCCAAAAACCCCTAAAATAATACACACACACACACACACACACACACACACACACACACACACACACACACACACACACACCCCAAATAACCTCCTCCAAAAACCCCTAAAATAATACATAGAAGGTAAAACATTATTAATTGTAGCTATATAAGTAAGTCATATATAATAGTCTTTTATATATTGGAAATGTATTTTGCTGGCAATACTTTGTTTTAGTTTTTGGTCACAGCTTACAGTAATTTTAAATTTTGGGAGTAAGCTTCTTTTTCTCAAATAGGGAAGAAAAGCTACTTTTCTCTTTTGTGATTGCCCTTTGACATACTAATCTTGTATTTGTGTGTTCTTGTATAAAATATGGGTATAAATATTTGTTAAGCATTACAGTGATATAATCATTGGAAACTGACAAAAGTCTTTAAACTTAGGTACAGAATTTTTAAAATTAAAGACTAAATTAGGACTGAAATGTACCTCTTAGTTTAATCTGGGGCTATGTCTTTATACTATATTTTAGGAATATAGACATATAGTTTCTCTTGATTGATGGAAGTTGAGAAATAAGCCTAAAGTCCATTATCTTAATCTATAAAATTATTTTTGGTTATTCAGAAATATGAAAAAGAAATATGATTTATTTCTGAGCATGTCAAATGATTTACAGATTTATAGATTTACAGACTGCTTCAGTGGAGCTGACTTTTGCTATGTAGGATAACCTATTAAAATTTTATTCTTACAGATGATGACAAAGTACAACTTAAAGAATTTGAGAAAATAGTAAAGAATATGCATGATGCCTCCAGGTTAAAAAGTAAGTACTAGATTGTTTTTCTTTCATTGGATTCACTTCTTTTTGCTTTAGATTTTTTTCCTTCACTTCTGGTTCTAATTTCTGGTTAAACAGATTGGCATTGATCTGAAGACAGACCAGTGAAACATGATTTTCATTAAATTTGGCAGCTTCTTTAATGAGAGAGAAAAATGCTTTTTGTGGAAAAGAGTGCTATTAAAAATTCTTTTTAATTACATTTTATTTCTGAGATACTGGCTTTAATTTTTTTCCAGATATAAGTATTCTCTGTGATATTAAGCCTCAGACATGGAAATCTATCATATAAATTGTTTTCTATTATTATAAAATTTCTCATAAGTCTTCTGCTGCTCCCTTTAGGAGAATTCATTATGCACTTTTTTTTAGTCTTCATTAAATAAAGTTGTCACACATTTTTGCAGAACATTTTTATAGTATTTTAAAAATGTTTTTATTGTTATTATAAAGATGATATGCAGAGGGTTTATAGCTATCTAACTCAGATAAAGAGTACATTTCTTTTTGGACAATGTTACCCCTTCCCTCACTTTTTCCAAGTTTTCCTTCCTGTCCCCACCTACAAGTTGTATAATTCATTTTCAATGAATTCATTTTCAGTGAGTAACAATGCTGCATTTTTCACCCTTTGTACCCCTATTTCTGCACCCTCTTTACCCTTCCAAAGACAGATAAATGAACAATAAGACAAAGAGAAAAGAAAAGAAAACAACAACAAAGAAAAAATCCTCTTTTCCATTTCCTGGAGTTCATTTCCATAAATATTATTTGATCAGAGGCACATAGGCATTATGCCTCTCTGTTTCTCCACCTAAGAATATCCTCCTTTGGTCTCACTGTGTGTGAATGCCTAGAGTCCTGTATAATTATCATGTCCTAGTGTATTTTAGATCTAGCTTATGCATATGAGAGAAAACATGCACTGTTTGTGTCTCTGAACTTGGCTTATGATTTGTGGTGGGACATTTGTGTAGTATTTGACCCCTGTTTTATTTAATAGTTAAGAAACAGGACAAAAAGTAAGTGAAGATAGTATTTTTGAAGGAGTATGCTTTTTGTTTGGAGAATATATGTTAAAATTTAACATCTCTGGTAATTTACTTGAATAAGAGTTTGAGTAACCCTTTGGTCAGTGAACATTCTTAGGAAAAGAAAAAACAACGCCATAAGTAAGTGGACAGGGAGATCAGTACAGAATCATTATGTATAAAAAGGAATAGCAATACTTCATTTTTTTCTGGAATGTAAAAATCCTAATACTATTCATTTAAGAAAAGTACTCAATGATCTTTCTGTTAAACTACATTACTGTGTCAATATAACTGCTGTCAGCATAATATATTAGTATTTAGTTTAACTTCGTTGTAGGAAACAAAACATAGAAATAGAGCCTCGGCTTTGGGCTAGACTGAGATGACCTTGTGTTTCTTTCACTTAACAGTGGTCATTCTTTCTGGGCCATTATTTTTTCCTTCAGCTAATAACATTATGTTTCTCATAGAGGGTCAACCATAATAGTAACATATATAGAGCATGTAACCTAGTATTAGAAACATATTGTGGGTTTAATAAATGGTAATTATAATTTTATTTCTAGTTCTGAAATCAGAGGGTAGGTCTCAAAAGTTTAGATAAGTAATATTTTATAAGAGGGAAAAGGAATTTTTTTTAAAAAGTTGAGTCATTGCATATTAAGGAGAGAGAATACAGGAAGGCAGTCACAGAGATCAAGGAGATGACATTGATATCCAGTGCAGAATAATGCTAGTAACTACGAGGAGGAATTATAATAAATGAGCTACCTGAGCAAGAAAGTGTTAATATGGCAGGGCCAGGGGTCTTGTTTGGAAGAGCCTGCTTGCAAGGTTGGCTGGCATATATGAACTTGGCTTTTAGAACGTTCTCTCCATTAGTAACTGATAAAGCAGGTTTACTGTACCCAGGCTATTTTTTGGAGAGGTTGGAATAGCCAAGAGAATAGTCATATAAATTTCTATGCTTTTCTTCAATATATACACAGAAAGTTGACAATGTCTGACCTTGTGGTTAAGATTTTAGATGTGAAACAGGCAATTCTAGGTATAGAAGCAGATGTAGGGTAGCCATTGTTGTAGATGACTTTAGAAGGGAGGTAAAGGCTTTTTGGAATGAGAAGGTGAAATTGCTTTGAGGCTAGGTTCATTTCTACAGTTGATAAATTATCATGTGGTCTAAGGCAAAGAGAGGATTATATCGAGATGCCAGACTCCTCAAAGTAATACATGATGATGATAGTAGAACAACATCATTGAATGAAGGCCTAAACCTTAAAGAGAAGGGCTAAGGTTTGGTTAAAATTGGAACAGTAATTGCCTGTCAACAAGAAAAGTGCCTCTCTGCTTCCTGATCCTATTAACATAGGATGATGAGTCAACTTCATTTAAGATAGTTATGCAAGGAAACTGTTTTTCAAGGAAAGCAAGCTTTAGTTAAAGAGGCAGAGTTGGTACATGTTTTCAAGGTGCTGGCAAAACTCAGATTGGTATTTTTAGTTACTTCCCAATGATGTTAGGGAAGCAGATGGTAAAACAAGATCTAAGGTAGCTAAGAAGGTAAGATTAGTATTTACTAATTCTCATTGGCTTTAATGATAATCATCATAATTTTATCTTATAAATACTGGATTGATTGGATCTTATTATATGTTTAATATAAGTTTTAGTGCTTTTCATTCCTTATCATCCACATCAACCCTGTGAATTGAATTATTTTCCCACTTTAGATCCATCACCATGAACATTATAGAGTGGTTAGGTAGAAATAATTTGTATAGGTCATGCAATTCTAGGTCACATAATTTGAAGCTGAGATATAAATGTGAGTCTATCTGACTTAACCATCACAGGGCTTGAAGCTAAATTCTAGATGCTAGGGTATAAATGAATCTCTGAAGAATTGAAAATAAAAAGTGAATGAGCTCTTGTATCATATTTACATTTTTCATGACTAGATTTTTTTATCTATATCAAAATGAGTTAATTTTGTTTGTTATAATTAAATCCCTATAGAAAAATTACTTTCTGTAATTGCCAGGAAAAAGTCAGCTATATATTTCTCACTTTGATTATGCTGATTTTATATCAGTACCAAAGAAATGTGAGCAACCAAGAACTCTCTTAATACTGAGGTGCTGGTCATGGAATTCTTTGAAGGCTGAATTAGTCTTATTCCTCAATTCAGGATGTAATAATAAAAAATGGGCTGCAACTGACAAAGATCTTTAATGATAGCTTTTGTTTTTTTGTTTTATATTTTAAAAATCAGATTCATTTAATTATAAAACATCTCTTTTCAATTTCTAGGCTTACAGGAGATTGCCTTAGCTCTTGATTCACTTGAAGGTGAAATGATAGCTGAGGAGAACTTGGAAGATTTTCTGAAAAATGTTGGGATTAAGTCACCTAAAGAAGAAGCAGAGAATATTCTTCAATCAGATTTTGTTTCTGGTAAACATTTTATTAATCAAAATTTTTTCCTGATAGAGTACCAATAAAAATTGTGCAAGCCCCTCTTTATAATTACTTAAAGATAATTAAAAAACTAAAAACATTGTGTAAGATATTTGCTTATGGAAGAACAAATATTGTAAATATTATATTTGAAAAGGAGACTTTCCTCTTCAAATTATCTCTTTTGCAGCTATGAATATATATATATGTATATATTTTAAACAATCAAGTCTAAAGTGTGTTGGGAGTGGAGTTGTAGAAATTCTCTCTGCTCAGAGATACCTTAATTTACTGAGTGAAGAACAACTTAAGAATTCAAGTTTTGTGAATAGAAATCCTAGCTTTGTCAACTTTGATCAAGTATAGTTAGTTATTGGCTTTTCTTGGCTGTTTGTTTTTTTTATGGATGGAATTAGCACTAGTATAATCTTCTATAAACTTATAGGGTTAGTAAGACAAACTGTTTGGACGTGAACCCAAAGAATCTTGTAAATAAAATGTTCAAGAAACATAAATATTTAGATATACATTTTTATGTAAAAATACATAAGTGTTTATTTAATGTTGGTTATTAGTCTTTTTGTATTACCAGTGCTTGTTTTTCACTTCCTTTGTTTTCATCTAGAAGGAAACATGGTGAATGTTAATGACTGGTTGAAAAGTTTGAAGGAGACCCCAAAATTTTCCAATTTTATTGGTAAGAGCTTTATGATAAAGCTGTTAGAAGACAACAATGCAGGATTCATTCAAAAGGTCATTTAGTCAAATACTGTTTGGTTCTTAAATCTTTATAGAAGTTACTTTGATTTGATTGTGGTTTGTCTCCTCTGAAACTAGTAATGAAGTTTAATCCAATTGTGAGGTATTAAGAGAGTAGAGACTTTATCTAATTGTGGCTTTTGGAGTTGAGGCCTTGGGGAACTGATTAGGACTACATAAGATCATTAGGATAGAGCCCTTGTGGCTTTATAAGAAAAGAGAGACCAGAGAACATATAGATATGCTACTATCTCTCACCAGGGCTATCATAACCATCTTGGAAGACCACTGTGAGATGTGATCCTTTGAACTTGGACCAGAGCTAATTGTAGGAAACGTCAGTACCCCACTCTCATCGAGTTGCCAGTGGCTCATGCCTATAATGCTAGCTACTTAGGAGGCTGAGACCTTAAGGATCTCAGTTTGAAGCTAGTCTGGACAGAAAAGACAAGGGTTTCTCCCATTATCCAGCAAAATACTGGACTGGAGACATCACTTAAGTGGTGAACATGAGGTGAACATGAGGCCATGAATTTGAGTCCCCAGTATTATCTAACTGGATGCTTAGGAGAAAACTAGAACTCTCAAAGCAATTCAGATTTCACTGTTGCCCAGTTGTTGCTTCTAATTTTATCTCATTGTAGTTAGAGACATGTAGCTAGAGTTTGATAGTTCCTCTGTTCATTAAAAGTGGAGTCTCCTATCTTTTCTTTTTTTGAGAGGGGTGTTGGTAGTATTGAGAACGCAGGGCCTTGCACTTGCTAGGCATGTGCACTATCACTTGAGTTACACCTGTAACCTCCTTTTATTTCTTGCTCTAGTTATTCTTTTTTTTTCAAATAGGGTCTGGTGATTTTTGCTTGGGACTGCCTGGATCACAATCCTTGCTATGCCTCTAGCAGACATGTGACACCACACTCATTCCTAAAAGTGGATTTTCTTCAGTTTTTATATGCTTCTTTCAGAAATCAAATTAGTTAGCTGTAGGGATGTACTAATGATAGGATACACTCATTCTTTCTGTCTTGGAAGTCCTTATAGCTTTTTTAAAATAACCCATTCCACAGTGAATATTACAAAAGTACATCATATACATGTTTGAAAACAGAATAATGAGAACCATTCAAATTATTTAAAAAAGATATAGATAAACTTTTAAAGCTTAAAAAATAGCCCACCCCTGACAAGAGGAAAAAAACTGGGAGAGAGTGAAGGAGTGACATTGTCCAAAAAGAAATGTACTTTTTACCAGACTTACGTAACCATAACCTCTCTGTACATCATCTTTATAGTAACAATAAAAAATTTAATTTATTTTGGACAGCTATAGAACTAGAATTTTATTACATATTTTTGGTAGAATTCTTCTCTTATTTTTCCATTCCTGGAATCATATACATTTGGACTTTTTTACTGGTTAAAATAGCTTTCCAGAAATATGAAAACAACTTATTTTCTCATTTCTTTTCACTAAATTAATCTTTTTTGTATCGACAAATTTCCCTTGAATTCCTCTACACTGACCTGTTTTTAAAACTTCTATATCAGAGGACAAAATAATCTATTAAATGATAGTTACTTTTAGATAAAGTTTAAAATAATTTATTTTACATTTCTTTCAGCCAATTTTGAAATGATTTTTTAGAAATATACTTTAGAAGTATGAATTCTTTTCTAGAAAAATTAAGGAGGTTGGTTGTGGGTTTTCTAGTCCAAATGTGTGCTAAATATGAGACCATGAGTCTCTTTAGAATAGACTAAGGTAGCTGGCAGGAACAAAAGATGTGGGAAGGAAAGCTGAAAGAGAATTGGAGTTGGAAGGTTTTGTAAAGAATGAGGGGAACATTTTTACTGAAATAGTGAGTTCATTGACATAATAACTAGAGAAACATTGATATGTGTTCACAGAGGAATAGCCCAGCCAAGTCCTAGACACTTAAAAAATAATTTTAAGCATAAAGAAAAGAATTATGAGCTACACATGGTGGTGAATGTCTGTAATCCTAGAACTTGGGAAGTGGAGACAGGAGGATTGTAAATTTGATGCCAACCTGTACTACCTAGCAAGACCTGTCACAAAAAATGAAAAGAGGCATAGCTCAAGTGGGAGAGCACTTCCTAATGTAAGGTCCTGGGCTCAAAGCCCAGTTCAGAAAAACAAAACAAAAACAAAGAAACAAAACCCCAGGTTATTTACAACTAAAAAAGGTTATAAATACACAATTATTGGAGTAGAGAAAACTTTCAAAGTGAGCTTATAGAAAATTATCAGAGTGGAAAGTAGACTGCTCTTAAGGGGGACCCACACTTGTCTTGCAAGTACCTTATTGAGTGCCATATCAAAGAGTGTAGATGTAAAAGAGGTTATTAGTTTTATTGCTGTGATCAAAAGATTTAAATCTATGTACTAAATTATATGTTGTATGTATATTTTCTGTATTGTAGCCTTGAATGAGATCATCAATACTTTGGACCACCTGGAAGACAGTTATCCGTCTGATAAAGAAAAATATTCTGATGTAGTTGAAAAGACTTATTTTACTGATGATACTCATCAAGAAATACTTAACAACTTGGAGCAGACAATCACACCCTGTAATAAACATTTTTAAATATTTTACTTTATTTTTTTTAAATTAAGGAACATCAGATGTAGGCTTTTTAGTTTGAATATTTGATATTGTTCTTCTAAATTTTGATCTGAGGATTTCAAATTACTTTACCAAGTATTAATTAGAAATTTCTTATTTATCACCAAAAGAACACCATGAACTTTATTGGACCAGTTTGCTATGGATCATATTTAGTACTACACCTATGTTAAATCCATAGAAGTTATTGTTGTTAAATGTCTGGGTAATCTCATAACCTGAATTGCCAAACTGATCTCAAAATATTTCTGAATGTTGTGGTATGTTATTCAATTGATGTCTGTTGCTAGAGTAATTTTATTCCAAAGTTAATACTTTTACTATTATATGCTTTATAGTGCTCTTAATATTTGTTGTGTAACTTTTTTAAAAGTAAAAAAAAAGTATTATTGAATAGTTACCTTGCAATTGGTTTTGTTTATCTAGACAATGGCTATTGTTGTATGTCAATTTTCAAACAATTTACTTGATCTGTCTATACTCTCACCTCAGATATATCTTATGCATGCCTTTCCTATAAGTTTAATTTTGTCAAAAAATGACAATGAATATTTGTCAATGTCTGGAGACAGTTTTGGTGATTAGGGTGGATGAGGAAGGATTACTAGCATCTACTTAGCAGTGGCAAGAGATGCTGCTAAATACTCTGCTATTTATATTACAGCACCATCTCCCCAAATAGTTATCTTGAACAAAATATTGATTAACGCTGAAGTTCAAAAAAATTACTGTTTTAGAGTTATTTCTAAAAATCGCTTTATCCTATTTTAAAAGTATTTTTATAGTTTAGTTGTTTTGTTTATCTTACTTAGACAAAAGTTAATTTATCTGTATTTTAACCTCCGTTTGTTACAAGGTAACATCTGGACTAGCTGTGAGTTACAACTGTTTGTTAACTACAAAAAGGTTAATGTAGACAAATAGATTTTATTTCTAATGATTATCCCTCAAACAGATCTCAGTATCAGTTTGCATCTCTGTAGGAAGCATGTAGGATAAATGAATGCAAGTGCAGTTTGCCCTTAGGAAAAACTCCAGGATTAGATAGTAGTTAGCTGGGTAGGTAAGGAGAGTTAGATACATGTAATTATTCAGATGGTGAGTTTATGAAAACAAAGTGAGAGAGAAAGGAAGTACCAATGCTATTAGAAACTGTCACATTTAAGGAATTGGTGGCGACCACAGAGGGGCTTTAGGAATGAGAAAGAAGAGTAAGAAAATCTTGATAGTTTGAGAGACTGAGGAAGATTTAACAACTCCATTACTATGAGTCTATACATGTCTTTAATATGTTTGAATCAGTTTTACTCCCTCTATCAGTCTCCTTTCAGCCAGGTAAGATTTCAAAGGAGGGAATCCCAGGGATAAATGTGAATGAGAAAAGAAGTTTTAATTGTTGCTTTCCTTCCAAACTTGCTAATGTCAAGATGCCGTTCTTCATTGTATCATCTCTGTCTCTAAATTTTCAGATTTTAGAAATGAGGCTGTACCTTCAAATCTGAAGTTGCCGGAGATGAATGGTGAGTAAGAACTTTCCAAATGAGAAAAATTCCAAATAAGAGGCTTTTATTTTTTTCAGATTATTGTCAAGTACTAACTGCATTCCTAATCTACCCTGGGCACTTCAGGTATATTATTATTTCCAAATAGTAATCAGATCTTTAAAGATGAAATTTCTGTATGTCTTAGCTCTGTGCCATTATTATGAACATTCAACTCCATTTTTTTCCCAGTTCTGTAGATACTCCCTTTTATTTTACTCTCAATCTTTCCATTTCTTGAGATATTCTCTCCTGACTCTCTTTGCTTATATTTTGTGTTTCACAGTAGTTATACTATAGTGTAGTATTGTTGGGTCAAGGACTGTTGCATCTCTAGAAAGTAGCACAATCCTAGTTCTTTTCATACTAAAAAAATAGCTATTATTAATAGCTCACACTTACATTTACTGATATTGTTCCAAATATCTTATGATAATTTATAAATATTAACTGAATGAATAGATCTGTGTTATCATTTTAGCTTCTTATTTATTACTGCTGTATTTGTATAGCCATACTACAACTTATAATTAAAACTGGCTCAATTTGTTCTTGGTTCCATCTGTTTTTGTGTGCTATTTTATTGGTATACATTTCCTGTCAGATAAACTGACAAACTTGGTTCAGATTTTTCTTCTTTTCCTTTCTTTCTTTTTCTTTTCCCTTTTCTTTTTGCCAGTTCTGGGACTTGAACTCAGGGCCTGGGCACTGTCCTCGAGTGTCTTTGTGTTCAAGGCTAGTCTTCTACCACTTGATTCACTGCAACACTTCCAGTTTTTTTCCTGAGAAGTTTATTAGAGATAAAGAGTCTCATGGATTTTTCCTGCCCAGACTGGCTTTGAACCACTATCCTCAGATCTCAGCCTGTTGAGTAGCTAGGATTACAGGCATGAGCTACCAGCACCCAGCCTAGCTCAAATATTACGTCATGTTCTATGACACTTTCTTCTGAGTTCATCACTCACTAAATGAAGTGAGAAAACTCAGTTAACCTTCTCAGTACTTCTATACTTTCTTATGTATTTTTTTCTCACAGCAGTGTTGACAATCATAAGTTAAAATTTTGTTTATACAGATTACAAATTCAGTCTCTTTTCATCAAGAAACTTACAGGAAACTGTTTTGTGTGTGTGGTACTGAACCCAGAACCTGGGTTTGCTAGGCAAACACTATATCATTTGAGCTATACCTTAGGCCCCCTTAAAAAAATACTGCTTTTGAGATAAGGTATTGTTGATTTTGACCAGTCTGCCCTAAAACTTGCAAACTTCCTGCCTTAATTTAAGGGAGTCACTGGGATTATAAGCATATGTTACCACACCTAGCTACTGGAAACTTTTTGATAAGAGGGATTGAATTTTTTTTTTGTTCTTAGCAGCTTTAAAAATAATTATTAGTGGCCAGGCGCCAGCGGCTCATGCCTGTAATCCTAGCTACTCAGGAGGCTGAGATCTTAGGACTGTGGTTCAAAGCCAGCCTGGGCAGGAAAGTCTATGAGGCTCTTATCTCCAATAAACCACTAGAAAACTGGAAGTGGTGCTGTGGCTCAAGTGGTAGAGTGCTCGCCTTGAGCTGAAGAGCACAGGGACAGTGTCCAGGCCCAGAGTTCAAACCCCACGATGGACCAAAAAAAAAAATTATTAGTAGTATGGGGCTGGGATGGTGGCTCGGTGTAGAGTGCTTGCCGCACATGCATGAGGCCCTGGGTTCGATTCCTCAGCACCTCATAAACAGAAAAGACTGGAAGTGGCACTGTGGCACAAGTGGTAGAGCACTAGCCTTGAGCTGAAGAGCTCAGGGATAGTGCCCAGGCCTAGAGTTCAAGCTCCACAACTGACCAAAAAAAAAAAAAAAGTAATAATTATTAGTAGAAGGAATATAGTTCTATTATGATACCATGGTATTTTTCCCAAGTGACCTGTATAATGCAACATTTTTCAGAATATGGAAATATATACATATATACATTTATATGTATATTCACACATATATGACTTAATTTTCAGGTTGAAGATAAATGAATCAGATATGATATAGATGAAAAATTAGAAGGATCAGTACAGATTGTTTTATATTTTAATTTGGGTGAGAACAATGGTCCCTCTTGGCTTATAGGGGTTATACATATGCAGAGAGATATGTTTAGGGAAGTGCAAGGCTAAAATGAGGTTCATACTCCACCGAACTCTCCAATACTTGAACATCCATGCTTGATTTTGGCTGCCTACAGAAGGTTCCATGTAACATGTAACATTTGTGTAGTTCATACAAAAAATGTGCAATCTAGATTGGCAGAGGTCTTGGGGGTCAAGAGCTTCAATCTCACATTTTAGCCTCTGTATGTGTGTGTGTGTGTGTTTGTGTGTGTGTGTGTGTGTGTGTGTGTGTTGGTCCTGGGACTTGAACTCAGGACCTGAGTACTGTATCTGGGCCATCTTTCTCTTGCTGGCTTGGATCAGTAGTGAAGCCTCTCATTCTGTTTTTTTCTACCTTAGCCCTAACCTTCTCTTTTCTTTTTTTTTTTTTTTTGGGTCCGGTCGTGGGGCCTGAACTTTGGGCCTGGGCGCTGTCCCTCAGCTCTTCAGCTCAAGGCTAGTGCTCTACCACTTGAGTCACAGCACCACTTCCGGCTTTTTTTTTTTGTTTATGTGGTGCTGAGGAATCGAACCCAGGGCCTTAGGCATGCAAGGCAAGCGCTCTACCACTGAGCCACCTTCCCAGCCCCAGCCCTAACCTTCTCTAACATACTCCCTACCTTTGAATTTCAACAATAAAGGATTAGAAATTCTTCTTTTTTTTTTTGTCAATTGTGGGGCTTGAACTGAGCATGGGTGCTTTTTTTTGCTCAAGACTAGCACTATACCACTTTAAGCTACAGCTCCACTTCTGGTTTTCTGGTATTTAATTGCAGATAAGAATCTATTAGCCTTTGGAGTAGTTAGGATTACAGGTATGAGCCACCAGTACTCAGCAAGATTCTTCTTTTACCTGTGCTCTATCTGTTGAATAACCTAGTGTCTTCCTGGGTTTCTATATACTGTATGGTTTTTCTACTCTTAGGGTGGCCCTTCTCAAATCCGCGTCAAGGTGACTTGCTGTTTTCTATCTTTTGAATTGAAAAGAGTTTTTAACTTTTAAATGAGAATTTCTTTCATTCAAAAAATTGTTTTCATGGGGCTGGGAAGGTAGCTCAGTGGTAGAGTGCATGCCTTGCAAGCATGAAGCCCTGGGTTCGATTCCTCAGCACCACATAAACAGAAAAAGCCAGAAGTGGCGCTGTGGCTCCAGTGGTAGAGCGCTAGCCTTGAGCTGAAGAGCTGAGGGACAGCGCCCAGATCCAGAGTTCAGGCCCCATGACCGGCAAAAAAAAAAATTGTTTTCACAAAATAGAAAATGCATCTTGTATGCTTATCAATTATATATGAATCAGCTGGGAATGTGGCTTAGTGGTAGAGTGCTAGTCTAGCATGCAGGAAGCTCTGGGTTCAATTTCTCATTACCATATAAACAGAAAAAGCTGAAAGTGGTGCTGTGGCTCAAGTGGTAGAGTGCTAGCCTTGAGCAAAAGCAACTCAGGGACAGAGCCCAGGCCCTGAGTTCAAGCCCCAGAACTGGCCAAAAAAACCCAAAAAGATTCATTTAAGAATTATCTAACTCAAATATCATTTTGAACATATCTTTATTCAGAAAGCCATAATGATTTCCAGTGACTGAAGCAGATTAACTATGGACAGTGGCTTCAATGCCCATTCCTCTCCTTCCTCTTTCCCTCCCTTCCTTCTTTTCTTCCTTCCTTTCTCCTTTTTCTCCTCTTTCTCTTTCTCCTCTTCTTCCCCCTTCAATATCCCTTCAGTTCTCCAATATCACCTCTTCCTTCCTCCTTTATCTTCTTTTGGCAAAAAGAAAAAAGCCGGAAGTGGCGCTGTGGCTCAAGTGGTACAACACTAGCCTTGAGCTGAAGAGCTGAGGGACAGCGCCGAGGCCCAGAGTTCAGGCCCCATGACAGGACCCCCCCCAAAAAAACTATATTAATAGCTCCCCATAAGTTCTATTACCAGATGCAAATGGAGACTATTAAGTAATGAGGAATATATCTTGTCTCTGCTATTGTGATTTTACTCTTTTTGCAGCTATAGAGCTACTCTTAGCTATTACCCAAATTCTCCAAGATGACCTTGTTGATGTCTCTGACCTCAAGACATTATTAGTGAAGGATGACCTTGATACAGCTAATGTTGTACTTACTGAAATATTAAGAAATTTACCTGAATATGGTTAATAGTTTAAATGCATTAAAAATTTTAAATTTCTTGGTAATGGAAAATAATACATAATGTGAGGGGTTTCATTGTGCTATTTCCATACATGCATATAATACTTTTTGATCATATTCACACCTTTTATTACTCTTACTTTCTTTCCTCCTAACTCTCCCCTTAAAAAAACTTCCTTACAAATTTTTATATGAGCTTCATTATGACCTTTTCATGAATACATTATGATATATTTTATATTCTGCTCCTACCCTCTGTTTTATGCCTCCTACTGGTTCCATCCAAACAATCCTAAATGATAATCATCCCTTCCCCTCCTCCTCTTCCTCCTCCTTCTTGTTTTTTTATCTAGATTCTAGGAAAACACTTGGTGTTTATTATTTTCCAAATCTGGCTTATTTTGCTTAATAGGATGATCCCTAGTCCCATCTATTTTTCTGAAAATAACAATTTCATTTTCTTTTTTGCCTAAATAATACTCCATTATGTGTATTTACTGTGTTTTAAAGTGCATTCATCTGTTGATGGGCATCTGGTCTGATTGCATAACTTGGTTATTGTGAATACTACTGCAATAAATATGGGTATGCAGGTATCTTTATAGTATGTTGTCTTATTTTCCTTTGAGTATATGACCAAGAATGGTGTAGTAGGCTTGGGCTCGGGCACTGTCCCTCAGCTCTTCAGCTAAAGGTGACTGCTGTACCGCTTGAGCCACAGCACCACTTCCTGTTTTCTAGTGGTTTATTGGAGATAAGATGTTAGGGAAATGAACCCTAAGATATGTATTCAAATGTTTTTTTCTTTCATGCGATTGTTTCTAACACATTTATAAGATTATTTCTTTGTTGCTTTGTATGTCCCTCCCCCACAGTATAACCCGTGCTTTCACTGTATTTGATGTCGGTATAATTTGTGGAGGGGAAGGGAAAAAACAAATCATTTAAATAGGGATACAGGTGGACCCATTACAACAATGAGACGGACAAGTTGTTATGTCGAAAACGAACTTTACAACTTTGGTGGGGGGAGGGAGGAGGATTGAGTGGGGGGAAGGGATGGGAAGGGGAAACAAAGGAGGAGGCTACAATGCTTGATAAGAAATGTACTCATTATCTTGCCCATGTAATTGTATTTTCACAATAATAATAAAAAAAAAGAGTCTCATGGACTTTCTTTCCCTGGGCTGGCTTTGAACTATGATCCTCAGACCTCAGCCTCCTGAGTAGCTAGGATTACAGGCATGAGCCACCAGCACCTGGCCTGCATTTTGTTTTTAATCTGACAGAAGCTAACTAATAAAAAGTATCTAAGTATTTAAGAAATTGCAGTTGTTAAAAATGTAACAAGTTTGACAAGAAATGTACCTGTAACCCATCTGTACATCACCTTGACAATAAAAAAAATTTTTTTTTTAAAAAAAGAGTCTCACAGACTTTTCCTGCCCAGGCTGGATTTGGACCATGATCCTCAGATCTCAGCCTCCTGAGTAGCTAGGATTACAGGCATGAGCCACCGGTGCCCGGCTGTAGTAGGATTTTATGCTTTTTGTATTTTTGAGGAACCTCCACACTGATTCCTATAATGACAATACTAATTTATTCTCACCACCAGTGTAAAGGAGTTCCTCACTATTCTCCAACTCCTGCATCATCATCATTTGTAGTTACTTGTTACCTTGTTGATAGTATCTGTGACTAGGGTGAGATGGAATTTCAATGAAGAATTGATTTGCATTTCTTTTATGGCTAATGATGGTGAAAATTTTATGTGCTTATTTAGCATTTGTCCTTTGTTTGAAACTGTTGAATTAGCTTGGCAACTTATTAATTGGGTCATTTGTTCTTTTAATGTTTAGTTTTATGATCTCTTTATGTATTCTAAGTATTATTTCCTTGTCATATAAACAGATGAATTATTATTTTTAGTTTTAGTTTTGTTGGTTGTGGGGCTTGAACTCAGGGCCTGAGTCCTGTCCTGAGCTCTTTTTGCTCAGGATTAGTGTTCTACCACTTTGAATTACAGTGCCACTTCCAGTTTTCAGGTAGCTAATTGGAGATAAGGGTCTCATAGACTTTCATGCATGGGCCTACTTCGAACCATGATTTTCAGATCTCAGCCTTCTGAGTAGGTAGGATTACAGGTGTGAGCCATCAACACGCAGCTTTGAAAACTTTTTTTCTACTTTGTAGACTTTTTTTGTAGTAGAGATTGATTTTAGGAGAAATACTTTCCTTTTTTCCCATTTAGTACCAGGTTGCTATAGATTTGCCATACATATGCTTTATTTTATTGAGGTATGTGCCTTCTATTTTTAGTTTCTTCGGGGTTATTATCACTAAGAAATGGTGAATTTTGTTAAGATATTTTCTACAACCATTGAGAGGATATGTGTCCAACTGTGTTTATGAGCTGTATTGTGCTTATTGATTTGTATTATGTGTTAAACCTTGTATCCTTGGAATTAAACCAGTTTTGCTTACAATGTGGGGTCTTTTTGATATGTTGTTGAATTCATTTGCACATATTTTATTTTGATATTTTATACTTATTTGTATGAAGGAGATTGATCTATAGTTTTCTTTTTTGTTGTGTCCTAATCTGGTTTTGGTATCATTCTAACAGTAGCTTCATAGAATGGGTTTGCTAGTATTCATCCCTTTTCTATTTTATAGGAGCACTGGTGTTTGTTCTTTAGGAGGCCTAATAGAAATTGGCAGTGAATCCTTCTGATTCCAGGCTGTTCTTTGTTGGGGGCTCCTTGTTTTGTTTTATGCCAGTCCTGAGGCTTAAATTTAGTGCCTGGTTCTGTCCCTGAGCTTTTTTGCTCAAGTCTAGCACTCTACCACTTGAACTACTTCCAGCTTTTTGGTGCTTAATTGGAGGTATCTCTTAAGGACTATCCTGCTCAGCCTGACAGTCCTCAAATCTAGCTGGCGTTACAAGCGTGAACCATGGGTAACTGGCTAACAGTGTTAATTTAGTCTGTAGTAGACAAGTGGAAGCTACAGAAGGATTGTGTTTATAGGGGTGATTAGATTTGTTTTTTAAGATACAGATCTTCTTTACCCAATTGTGGGAAATAAATGGAAGAGGATGAGACTGGAGTTATAGGCTTTTAAAGGATGCTATTTTAATTCCACAGGAGTTAGGTAATGCAATACATTCAGTAAGTATTAGAAACAAAGAGAAGCTGATAATTCTGTTCATATAAGAAATAAGAGGGAAGAAGTAATCAAGGCTGACTTCTTTTTTTGGGGGGGGTCTGGTCATGGGCCTGAACGCTGTCCCTCAGCTCTTCAGCTCAAAGCTAGCGCTCTACCACTTGAGCCATAGCGCCACTTCCGGCTTTTTTTTTCTGGTTATATGGTGTTAAGGAATCGAACTCAGGGCCTCATGAATGCAAGGCAAGCGCTCTACCACTGAGCCACCTTCCCAGCCCCTCAAGGCTGACTTCTAAGCTTGTAGCAATTTTTATAACTTGCTTGTTAGCTTCAGATTTATCAACTAATTTAAAAACATGCCAACCAGAGTGACTTGAACCTGTAATACTAGCTATTTGGGAGACTGAGAATAGGAGAACCATAATTCAAGGCCAGCAGGGACAGGAAAGCTCATACCATACCAAGGGTCTGGGAAGGTGGCTCAGTGGTAGAGCACTTGCCTTGCATGCATGAGGCTCTGGGTTCAATTCCTCAGCACCATATAAACAAAAAGAAAAAAGCCGGAAGTGGTGCTGTGTCTCAAGTGGTAGAGCGCTAGTTTTGAGCTGAAGAGCTGAGGGACAGCGCCCACGCCCAGAGTTCAGGCCCCATGACCGGACCCAAAAAAAACAAAACAAAACAAACAAACCATACCTAGGCTCAGTGGGCATGCCTGGCATGACAAGTCCCTATGGGAGGCTGTGATTGGGAAGATCAAGCTGTCAGGCTGGCCTGGGCAACAAAGTTAGGCCAGAGTGAGCTTACACACACACACACACAGACACACACACAAGGCCAGAGTGAGCTTACACACACACACACACACACACACACACAAGGCCAGAGTGAGCTTACACACACACACACACACACACACACACACACACACACACACACCCTTTTGGCAAAACTAATGGAAGGGACTTGATGAACATCTTTTTTCTGTGTGTGTGTGAAAATACCGTACAGAGGAGTTACAATTACATGGGCAAGGTAATGAGTACATTTCTTATCAAGCAT